ATCATGGCATTCCCTAGCCCCAATACTGGTGGTAGATGGGCGCTGGTTCACTGCCAAGGACTACCCTACCATTTCTAGAGGAACATGTGACCCAGTGGGTTAATCATTATATCCTGAAGGCGGTGCCGTCTATCATGATGATAGTGCAGCAATGCACACAGCAAGACTGGAGACAGAGTGGTCTGATGGACATGAAAAGCTGCTTTTCCACTATCGTGCCAAACCGTTCTAAGAACACTTCGGTACGGTTACGGTTGTTTCTCCACTGAGCCTGGAACGGCGCGGCACGATTACAAACCGTTCTCGGCCCGGAATTCTCGGCACGGTTAGACAACCGTGCTGAACTGTGCTGACAGATTCTGTGTTGACGTCGCGACTCGGTTGCTAAGCTACCACAGCTGGCTCAGCAGAAGCGCGCTAGTCATCAGACATCCTCAATAAACTACAGTACATTTAATATGAAATAATGATCCAGGTCTAAACGATACAGTTTGAAAAGGGTTTTAAAACCATAGAGCAGTCCCTGGCAGAGAAGTGAATAACTCATCAGATTCTTACGAAGATATTTTATTCATTAAAGTTATTATTTTATTGACTTGAATACAGACCTACTTCGCCTGCCTGAATGTGAGTTTATTGCACACAGCGCTGTATTTCACAGCACCAAACTCGCTCTGATCCGGGAGAGAGATGCCAGCAACTTGCGCTGCTGACTTTTCCTGCTGCGCATCGAATAAAGCGAATAAAGTCACGCTTTGCATCGTCGATGTCCAAATTCCACAACAACATCACTATATCCATGGAACACGAACTTGCAGACTCTTTTAACAACGAGGAAATAATTGCACTTTTTAATTCAAAGCCAGGACAGCTTGTTAATACCGGCGAGACCACCTGAAGGACGGTGTGTTAATGTCGGCCGTCCAAAAGACTTTGCTTGAAAGCTTTACGGAGCGACACTGTAACTGTCCAAGGTACTGTTGTATGATTTATATTACAGCATATGCACTAATAAACAAGTCAAAAGAATGAATGAATTAAATAAATATGGATTCTTAAATGTCAGTATTGCTTTTACTCAAAAAATATCAATACGTTTTCACAAATGTTTTATAAAAATAAAATGAGCAATTTTCATCATTTCAGCTATAGGCAATTATATGATTCAGTTATACATAAGTTATATGACATTTATGAGGCATGTAACATGTTTTTTTGTTCTTGGTGATCTTTAATATAGCTACGCAAATATTTTCTAAAACGTCTAGCAATAATTCGCCTACAGCTTAATTATGAACACAAAAATAATTATAATAATAAAAATAAAATGATCAAAATAAAAAGATAATAGAGCAGCATTTTGCTAAATATAATAGTGCTTTATATGCTTTAAATCCTGCTGTATATTGTTTTATATTCGTTTTTTATTTCACTTGCTGCATTCGTTATTTAATGTTTGAATAGTAAAACAAATAACAACCAGCGCTTAATTGGTTTCATTTTACCATCAAAATGTAGTATATTTTATATCATTATCAACTTTTGAAATAGTGTAATTTAATTAATTGTTAAAAATGAAATAATTTATGTGCTGTGTTTTTATTAGTGAAAGTGCCCGCTCACCTTTGACAAGGCCTGTCCAAAATTATATTTCTGCCACTATAATGCAAATGCACTATTATTGTTGTCTTATCATTGTTTATTTTTCTGTTATGTTCAGAGATTTTAAATATTATTTATTTCCCCTCCAATTATTTTCAATCATCACGTTACATTTTGGAAATTTTCCCTCCAAATAAAATTTAGCCAGAGCTGCGCAACATATAAATAAATAAGGGTGCACATGTACCTATATTTAGCACCCCTATATGATAGAGCGGCATAACAGTGTTTAGTCACATGGTTGCTTTGGCTTTTATGAAAAAAAAAAAAAACTAGTTTCGGCTCTTATTTAACTTTAATTGAACAAAGGGAGCCGTTTACATTGCGTTACCAAGGCAACTACTGATGCGTTTTGTGTAATGTTTTAAAGAACTTTGTCGCAGCACGACAGTGGAAAATGAAACCGTATCCGTGCTGTCTGGCCCAGTTCTGTTTAAAGAACGATTCAGCACGATAGTGGAAAAGCGGCTAAAGTGAAGTTGAACATCTCCCATGGCCTGCACAGCACCCTGATCCAAATATTATTGAAACATTTACTTTGTTTTTCCGTGCTGTTTGCATGTGTTGTGAAGCTTCGCAGTGCGCTTTCGTAATGTGTTTTTTGTGTTGTGAGGATTTGCAAAGTGTTTGCTGTCAGACTGATCTTTTCCTTATTTGCGGTGTTTTCTTGAATTGCAAGCGTTAAGCTGTCTCTGACACCATTTGCATTAAAAAAAGGCAAATATTTGAGACAGGGTCCCCTGGTTGAGTTCCACAAGAAAAGGAAAGCGCTATTATTATTATGTGCACCTGTAAATGCTGGTGTTTGTATTTCAGGCTCCAGTCGTCAGGACGAGGATCTGCTGGTGAACGAGCTGTTGGAGGATATTCCCAAACACGAGGAGGATTATCTGGACCTGACGCTGGAGGAGGAGAAAGAGCTGATGGACAAGATCAGAACCATCCTGGAGAAGTAGAACTAGAGAAAAAACCCGGCTTTATTCTCATTATTCACATTTATACAGTAATCACAGCACATCCGTTCAGTGATGCAGATTCGTTTACTTCATGTCAAAGGGAGTTCGTTTAGTTTTGGTTTGTTTGGATGATTCATGATTCACTTTGGTTGAAGTGATTCACTGAGTTTTACTGATTCATATGTTCAGTTTTTTTGTTGATTGTGCAATAAAGATTAATATTGACATATAGCTGTGGTTTAATATAATTTCTAATGAGGCTGAATTATGCAGTTTTTAAATATGCACAGTAGAAATGTAACATTGAAGTCAGTAGTTTTTTTTATTTATTAAAAAGAAACAATAGCAATGCTTTGAATCAGTGAATTTGACTCATTAATAAACTCAACATGAGATTCTATAAGAGTATTAAAATTTAAGCATGCAATTTTTGGATTCATCATATTTTTAATATGTATTTTAAAGATGCATTGGTAAATGTTGAAATAGGATAATAAATGCTGTACTAGTTTTGTTTATGCTAGTAAATAGATTCAATATCATTCACTAATGAAATCTTATTGTAAATGGCATCTGTTTCACTACATTGTGGGTATAAAAATAACACTGGAAATGCTTGGGATCTGTTATCGATATTAAAGTATCTATAGTTATATGCATGACATTTTTGGATGGTCAATATATACATTTTATATTTAAATATGCTCGTGAAGTCACTCTGATAGAAGGACACAACACATTTCAGCCCATATTTGTCTCTAAACCTTGTAGAAAATTAAATATTTTGTAAAACGTTACAAAATAGTGGATGCATGTACATGTTTCAGTAATTATGCATAACTCCTACAGTAATGACTCAATTAATTTGCAGTTTTTATAGGCTAAAACTAAAGGGTAAAATATTTATACTTTAACAGGAATAATTATTGTTATTATTTGTAATTATTATTGTATTTGTTTTTAATAATTATCATTTTAGTCTCATCTGACCAAAGTTTGCATTTATTTGATCAAAATATTAAGAATATTATATATTTATATATTTTTCTTAACATTTATTATTTTTATATATTTTTAAATAATAATAATATAATTGTATTATAAAAAAAACAAATATTATAATAATGAATACAACCGGTTTCTATGCGAATTATGATATTAGTCTCTTCTGAGTCTTTTCTCAAAAAGGTTGCATTTTTCTGACATATATATATATATATATATATATATATATATATATATATATATATATAATAAATAAAATGATTATTTTTATTAATGTTTTTTTATTGAAAAAAGTCATTTATTATGAAATTATTTAAACAGTTTTATTATGTATTCTTTTTTTATATGTAAAATAATAATGTATTACATTATATAAAATTAATTAAGATGGTTTCTACGCAAATATAGGGTCATTTATAGCTGTGCACTTTATTATCATTACTCCAATCTTAAGTGATTTACATGATCCTTCAGAAATCAGTTTAATATGATGATTCAATGTTCAAGAGACATTTACAATCACAGGCCTGTAGACAGGTGGGGGACCCACCCCTCACTGACAAAGGTCCAGAATATGCCCAATACATGAGCTCATTTGTCCTATTTTGACTGCTATGCCATCAAAAAAGGCTTCAAGACCAAGCGGAATTAGCTGTCGCTACGGTGTAACTATAGCTAATGAGTTTTGACTAATGCTACAAATAATTTCATTTTACAGTTTGACATGAGAAGTTTTCTACCACTACTGTATGGTTTTCAAACAGAAAAAAACATTTTACAGGTAACTTTTATTCTAAATCTTGGGCCTTATTCCTGAAATAAATGAGCACTAAAAAGGTGTGAAGCACAAAAAGCCACTCTTAATAAAATTGATTTGAAAACTAATTTGGCTACTGCTGTTATTCATGAGCTTTTAAATGCACTTTTCTACAAGAGAGGCTAGAAAAATTGTGAAGCTGTACATTATTATTGTTATTATTATGTTTTCATTATTTTTGTTTATTCAAATGGTCAAATTCTGACCGAGGACAGTTGAATGTGCTGGCCAGTTTGTTTTTAGCCTAATAAATGACAATAGACTACAGTTTTTAATTAAAAACTTTAACAGATTCCATTTTTTTTCTAATGATACACGCTGTAATAAATATGTATTTTAAAAATTAATATTATTTCACATTTTGTTAATTATAAAATCTTTAGGAAATATTTTTGATATCCGAAAAAACATGGTTATGATGACCATCTGACAAGCTAGTCCAGCTAAAATAATAGTAATACTAAGAAATGCAGTAAATAAATCTCATGATTAAATAGAAAATGAGGCGTATAACTGCAAAAAAAGTTCTACAGAATTTTACCAGGCCGGCTACAGGGCTGTATTACTATATCAGCATTGAAAGTTGTTGCATTGCATTGAAAAGTTGAGCTGCTTCCTTATTTTGTGATGAATTTTCAGCATTTACAGATGAAAAATGTCAAAGAACCGTATTTATTTCAAACAGAATCTATCGCAACATTATAAAAATGTCACGTTTATTCAAACTCAATGCATATTTAGTGAATAGCATGATCCATATCTTAAAATAAATAAAGCTGATTGCAACATCAGTAAGAGTGTGAGCGCTGCAGTGGATGGAGTGACGACACAGAGACGTTTGTGTGATAAAATAGCATCTTGCTGGCTGTTGCTGAGAGTTTATTTTACATATGGAGAGTCAGAGAGGATTGTGCGGAGGGTTTAGAAGTAGTTGACGATCCTGCGGATGGACTGGATGTGGGGATTCTGCGCCTGCCATTCGTTGTGGCCGCAATAGTTTCCTCTCTCCACAATGTACATGCGGCCGCGGAAGTTAGGCTCCTCATACATCACCCAGCTGAAAAACACACACCAAATCCAAACCATGCGTTTTAAAGATGGAAAAGATGACCTATTATGCCTTTTTACAAGATGTTAAACAAGTCTCTGATGTCTTTAGAGTGTTTGAGTCTATAATAATGTTCTCCAGCTCTCTGAAACTGACTCTTTCAGGCTCTGATCCTAATTGTGGTGTTTTGGTGACTGTCTCTTTAAATGCAAATGAGATTGTGCTCTTTTCAGAAGAGGGCGGAGCTACAGATGCATATTGTCAGTGCTAATCAGGTGTGCTTGATGCTTCTGTCAGTCTATGTCACTCCTGTCGCTGTTCATCTAGAACTCCACATCTATAATGCTCTTAGTCTATGCTGACATCATCTTCAGCAGCTCAAACACTCTAATGGCTAATGGACAGACGGCTGCTTCTCACTCAGGGCTGCTGCTAATGCTAATGAGATAGAGATGGTCACTAGAGAATTGACATTCTCTCTTTGTACGTGTCATCAAAGTGTTTCTGCTTTAATCAAGTGTAAAGTAAATATTGAACTTCCTTCACTTTACTTTAACTAGGAAGAAGATAAATAAAGCAAACTCACGCTCCGTCTCCGAAGACGCGCACAGAGTTGACGCAGTTTGTGTTGAATCCGCGGCTCTGCAGGAATGGACAGTCGTCGCACAGCTCCATACACTGACCGGTGTAATTACAGCCCTCGAACAGCTCCATACGGTACTGCTCACCGTGCTGAAACACACACATTACAGTATCAGCACCACACACACACACACACACACACTAACAGACTACATGCACATTGTATCACATCACATACTGCAGCTGATAAGGTAAAGTCTAGAAGGGATACAGCTGTGGATATATCAATGTAGTATCATTTCTTGTGACAGCAATATTTATATTTTTACATTTCTGTGAGGGTTGGGGTTTAGGTATGGTGGCTAGATGTTAATAAAATACAAATAATGATTAATTAAATAATATATGAATAATATTCTGTATAATTACTGTTTTCATATTATTGTAAAGCTTGGGTTAAGGGTTGGGGTAGACGGTGATAATGCAGTTAATGGGTAATTTAATAAATAAGATGAATAATTTCTGTATAATGACTGTTTTTACAGTACTGTGAGGCTAGGCTTCAGGGTTCAATTATGAGTAGATGTTAATAAAATACAATTAATAGGTCATTTAATAAATATTATTTGAGTAATGCTCTTCTGTTTTTACATTATTGTGAGGGTTGGGGTTTAGGTATGGTGGCTAGATGTTAATAAAATACAAATAATGGGTAACCTAATAAATAAAATATGAATAATACTCTATAATAGGTCATATAGGGTTAGGGTTAAGGGTAGACATACAATTAGTGTGTAATTTAATAAATGATTTGAATAAGACTCTGTATAATGACTGTTTTTACATTAGTGTGAGGGTTGGGTTTATGGTCGGAATGGGACTAGATGTTAATAAAATACAAATAATGAGTAATTTAATAAATAAAATATGAATAATACTCAGTATAATTACTGTTTTACAGTACTGTGAGGGTTGGGTTTAGGGTTGAATTATGAGTAGATGTTAATAAAATACAATGAATAGGTAATTTAATAAATAATATTTGAGTAATACTCTATAATTACTGTTTTTACAGTACTGTGAGGGCTGGGTTTAGGGGGTAGATGTTAATAAAATACAAATAATGGGTAATTTAATAAATAAAATATGAATAATACTCTATAATTACTGTTTCTACATTACTGTGAGGGTTGGGTTTAGGGTTAGGGTTAAGGGTAGACATACAATTAGTGTGTAATTTAATAAATAATTTGAATAAGACTCTGTATAATGACTGTTTTTACATTACTGTGAGGGTTGGGTTTAGCGCTGAAGTAGGGCTAGATGTTAATAAAATACAATTAATAGATAATATAATGAATATTATGGATAACACTCTGTATAATTACTGTTTTTACAATACTTTTAGGGCTGGATTTAGGGAGAAAATGTTAATAAAATACAAATAATGGGTATTTAATGAATAATATGAATAATACTCAGTATAATGACTGTTTTTACATTATTGTGAGGGTTGGGTTTATGGTCGGAATGGGACTAGATGTTAATAAAATACAAATAATGACTAATTTAATAAATAAAATATGAATAATACTCAGTATAATTACTGTTTTACAGTACTGTGAGGGTTGGGTTTAGGGTTGAATTATGAGTAGATGTTAATAAAATACAATGAATAGGTAATTTAATAAATAATATTTGAGTAATACTCTATAATTACTGTTTTTACAGTACTGTGAGGGCTGGGTTTAGGGGGTAGATGTTAATAAAATACAAATAATGGGTAATTTAATTAATAATTAATGTTATAATTAATATTTTCGCATTACTGTGAGGCTTGGGTTAAGGGTTGGGGTAGGGGTAGACAGTAATAAAATATAATTCATTGGAAATTTTATTAATAATATGAATAATATGCAACATAATTACTGTTTTTACATTACTGTGAGAGTTGGGAATGGGGTAGATGTTAATAAAATACAATAAATAGATAATTTGATAAATAATATGTATAATATTCAATATAATTACAGTTTTACCTTACTGTGACTGTTGTGTTTAGGGTTCAGGTAGGGCTAGATGTTGATATAATACAATTAATGGGTAGCTTGATCAATTGTATTAACAATATTCAGTGTAATTACTGTTTTCACACTACTGCGAGAGTTGGATTGAGGGTTAAGGTAGATGTTAATAAAATACAAATAATGGGTTATTTAATAAATAATATGATTAATTCATGTTATAATTAATATTTTTGCATTACTTTCAGGCTTGGGTTTAGGGTTTGGAATAGGGGTAGATGTTAATAAAATACAATTAATGGGTAATTTAGTAAATAATATTATTAATTTGTTATGAATAATATTTTTACATTACTGTGAGGGTTGGGTTTAGGCTTGAGGTAGGGGTAGATGTTAATAAAATACAAGTATAATCAAAATAAATAATATAAATAATTCTCCTTAACTTCCGGCCACAGCTGTATCCCTTCTAGCAACGATCTTAAGATAATGCAATGCTCTTAACTTCACTAACTTTTAACATTCCTGCTTAATTTGTCCACATCCCCCAAAAAAATATGCAATAAATATGATAAAGTGTAAATGATGATATTCATATTTATAAGTAAGGAGTAGGTAAACACATCATGAAATAATTAGGAAATGATGCACATGTGATGTGGTGAAGCTGTTACTCCTTAATATCTCAGCAGGACTGTGCTGTAGCTCTCACCATGCGGATGGGTCTGCAGGAGCCCATGTGGTCATTGTGGGAGTTCCAGCGCTGGAATTCGGGGTACTCTCCGCGCTCCAGGATGTACTGCTGGCCCTTGAAGTCGGGGTGGTCGTAGCAGATCCAGGCTCCGCTCTCCACACGGATGGAGTTGACGCGGTTCATGAAGCCGCGGTCTTGGAAGTTATCGCAGTCTCCATACACCTCCAGACAGCGGCCGGTGAAGCAGCGGCCCTCATAAAAACAGATCTGTGGGATGGAGCGAGACGGAAACACGTGTCAGAACAGAAAAGGGACAGAGGGATGGTTGTTACCTTTGATAAACATCTGGTAAATATACTTGCATATAATATCAATCATCTACTCATTTTCTTTTCAGCTTAGTCTCTTATTAATCAGGGGTCGCCACAGCAGAATGAATCGCCAGCCATGCAGCATATGTTTTACACGGCAGATGCCCTTCCAGCTGCAACCCAACACTGGGAAACATCCATACCCACTCATTTATGGCCAATTTAGTTGATCAATTCCCCTATAGCACATGTGTTTGGACTTTCGGGTAAATCGGAGGAAACTCACGCCTACACTGGGAGAACATGCAAACTCCACACAGAAACACCAACTGAACCAGCCAGGACTCGAATTAGAGACCTTCTTGCTGTGAGGCAATAGTGCTACCCACTGCGCCACCGTGACGCCATAATATCAATCAATCAGTCAATAAATGAAGTATAATAGCCAAAATAAAAATGATAAATTTAGAAAATGATAATAAAAAACTACATAAAGTTATTATTAATAAAGTATTAATGATAAAATATAAATATCAATCAATAAAATCATCTAAATGAAAATAATAAACAATAAAATTTAAAAATGATAATAAAGAAATATTACTAAAGGATAGACAAGGTTATTATAAGGCTACCACAAACAATTCTTCGATAATAAAAGCATATAATATCAATAAATTAATTAATTAATGAATAAGTAAACAAAGTATAATAGGCTAAATAATAACGATCAAAAATCTTAATGTTATAATCAACTTTCAACATTAATTCTACATAATTTTTCTTTGAGTGGATGCCTTTCGGGCAACATCTAAGGACAATAGGAAGTTCCTCAAATCGTTATACATTTACTTTTGTGCCTGAAGCAATTTGGTTCTGTAATAAATAAAGTTAATCAATGGATTATTATTGTTATTGAATTTGGGGCTGCACGGTGGCGCAGTGGGTAGCACGATTGCCTCACAGCAAGAAGGTCGCTGGTTCTAGCCTCGGCTGGGTCAGTTGCCGTTTCCCCAACAGTCCAAAGACGTGGTACAGGGGAATTTGGTAGGCTAAATTGTCCGTAGTGTATGAGTGTGAACGAGTGGGTATGGGTGTTTCCCAGTGATGGGTTGCAGCTGGAAGGGCATCCGGTGCGTAAAACATATGCTGGATAAGTTGGCGGTTCATTCCGCTGTGGCGACCCCAGATTAATAAAGAGATTAAGCCAAAAAAAAAAAATGAATGAATGATTGTTATTGATTTTTTTGTGTGTGTGTACTTGATGTTAAGTGTTGGTGTTTAATGTGTCAAGTTTGTCATTTTTGTTATGTGTGAAGCACCACCATGTCAGCTAAACTAAACTAAACTTCAATTTAATCATGTTGAATATAATAAAGTAAAATACCTGTGAAAGAGTATAAAGACGAAAGACATATAAATGACTAATAAAATACCAAAAATGTGCAACAGAATTGCTAAAGCTTAACTGAAAAAAATAAATAAATAAACTAAAATTTAAACCTATGAACTAATATAATACAATAATTAAAAAGGACATACAATTAAACTCAATTGCCATCTGGGATTTTCTTATACAACGAGCATTTTTCTCAACCTCTTACGTTTATATTCAGTTATTTCATATTAAAAGCGATGAAAATAACCTATTCTTTCGCATAAAAGTGAAATTACTGAATCAAGACACAGGAGCCTGATAAAATGCTAATATTACAAGAAAAGTTCAGATGGCACTAAGAGGTTTTGCATCTGAACTCTTCATATAGACATATAATTGAGTATACATAGGCCAAATAGTACAACAAAATTAATAAAGTCTATCTGAAATTAAGTAAAACATTATACAAATAAACAATATATAACATTTAAATAGCTGAAACTAAATAAAAATACAACATTTAAAAACAAAGCTTAAATTAAAAGGCATGTAGACAGAGTATAATCCTATTTTATAAGCTTTTAGTTGTTTTGGTTTAAAACTAAGGGAAATTACAAAAACGAAACAATTGAATAAAAACAAAATATAAAGAATTAACAAAATTTAACACCTTTATAAAAAAAAACTATTAACAAAAACTATGAATATACAGACACACGGCACCCGATAGAAATAAAAATGAATGCTAAAATGAAAACACAATGGCAAGAGTAAATAAATAAACTATTATCAGGAGCCTAATAAAAGCTATATTAAATATAAAAACGAGAAAGGTTGCTTAAACTTCATCAATATAAAATATTAACAAAAAGCAACACAAAACGATAAACACTACACACACCTAAACTTTAAATAACAGAATTAGTGTATACCTTAAATAACAATTAAAATGACCAAGAAATATAGAAGTAAAACACATAAATATTAAACTAATCTAAACGAAAAATAAAAATAAACTAAACGTTAATACAAAATACTTGAAATAAGCAATGAAATAAGCGTGAGGGCTCGATTTTTCTCAGTTTATTATTAATCTCCGCATAATTTGCGTAAACTTTAATAGTTTAAATTAAGAATTATTATACAAGTAAAACACATCTAGCCAATATATTCAACTAAACTACTTCAAAATAAAACGCTTGAGCAGCGTGTCTGACTGTCGTTAAAATAAGCCTGAGGACTCTTATTTTGCTAACTTTATTATTATATAACTTAATTTGTGCAAAACATTTAAATTAAATAATTTAAATGAACAAGTAATATACAAGTAAAACACATCCATATTCAACTAAACAACTTGAGCAGTGTGTCTGAAATTGAAGTAAGCGTGTATAGGACTCTTATTTTGCGGACTTTTACATTATCAATAACAAACCGCCTCAGGGATGATGTTGATGTTCTGTTAAATCAGTGTGCGTTTTGTGAGGATTTCGGGACTCTTACCTTTCCAGAATACTGCGACATTTCTCCTCTGGATTGCGTCCAAACTGGCCACACGTCAGACAGTGAGAGGCCAAAGTTGGACCGGACAATTTATAGTGGCAGCGGCTTCTGGCGGCAACAATGGCAGCTTTAGCGAGTCTGCTGAGCGGGCGGTTTTCCCGCGCGCCTCTGCTGATGCGGAGCTTCACTTCCGACAATGGATTCTGCTTCGCTGGACATTAGTTTGTGGAGGTCAGTGTGTGTGTGTGTGTTCAGCCTCCTCACTAACTCTCAGATTAAGGTAAATTTGATTGAATATTCCCTCAGTGACTATATTGTTTACCGTGATACTTTGAATATTGGGTCTGACATCACATGTATGACAACATTAGCACTATTTAATTGACTGTAAACAATGTTGTACTTTAATAGTCATTGATTGATAATGATTTCACCATTTAAATATGCAAATAATACTGTTCTGTAATTATATTATTAAGCAGACAGTCTGAATGTGTGAATATAAAACCAACTTTACCTCAAATACTCTCAGTATTAGCCCTCAGAGAGAGCAAAGAGTAATATATGAGCATTTCTCTCACATAATGAATACTGGATTGGTTTAACCCGATTGGTTAACACCTCCCAGCTGGGCGATAAAATGTTAATATTAGGTTTGCTCATAACTTAAATTATATTTTGATATTGTGTATATTGTTTAAACTCTAATAAAATGAAAACAACCTTGGGTCAGTTATCAATATACTAACAAAATTATCAATACACACATAACAATCAAATTGTTCATGCCCTGGGGATTTCAGTATGAATAATTTTCGGCTCGACTATTATATGCAGTTGAAGTCAGAATTATTAGCCCTCCTGTTAATTTGGAAATCATTTATTAATATTTTTCCCCAATTTCTGTTTAGTGAGACATTTTTTTCAGCACATTTCTAATCATAATAGTGTTAATAACTCATCTCTAATAACTGATTTATTTTCTCGTTGTCATGATGACAGTACATAATATTAGACTAGATATTCTTCAAGACACTAGTGTTCATTGTAAAGTGACATGTAAAGGCTTCACTAGGGTAATTAGGGTAAAGTTAGGGTAATTAGGCAAGTCATTGTATAACAGTGGTTTGTTCTGAGACAATCTAAAGGGGTTAATAATATTGACCTTAAAATGGCTTTAAAACTGATTTTATTCTAGCCGAAATAAAATAAATAAGACTTTTTTTTCAAGAAGAACAAATATTAGGGCAAATACTGTAAAGCTTTCCTTGCTCTAATAAATATCATTTGAGACAAATTTGAAAAAAAGTAAATATAAAAAAAAATGTATTGGTTCACTAATATAGGGGGAAAAATTATTATAGAAGTTCACGTTTGTAATTTCTGTATATGACTGATATTTAAAAAAACTTTTTAAAAGAAAAACTCTCCAATTTTATTAAATAAAAACAAATTATAGTAATAATAAATTGCAGAGTACACAAATTATAGGCATCAAAATCCATTTGATTTGTGTGTGTGTGTGTGTATATATATATATATATATATATATATATATATATATATATATATATATATATATCAATCATATAATTCGGAACTTTTTTTTTCAGTTCACGTGTGCATTTACTGTCTATGATTGATATTTAAACAACTACTTTTGGAAACACTTTCATCTAACCAAATTGTCATTTATGCTGTAATAAAAATGATAAATAATAATGATAATAATAATGACAGTAAATCCCAAACTACACAAATCTTGATCATCAAAAATCTAATTGTTTATTTATTTCCCCAATTTCTGTTTAACGGAGAGCAGATTTCTTCAGCACATTTCTAAACATAATAGTGTTAATAACTCATCTCTTATCACTGATTTATTTTCTCTTTGTCATGATGACAGTAAATAATATTAGACTAGATATTCTTCAAGACACTTCTATACAGCTTAAAGTGACATGTAAAGGCTTCACTAGGGTAATTAGGGTAACTAGGCAGGTTAGGGTAATTAGGCAAGTTATTGTATAACTATGGTTTGTTCTGGAGGCCATCAAAAACAAAATATATCTTAAAGGGGCGAATAATATTGACCTTACAATGGCGTTTAAAAAAGTTAAAACTGCTTTTATTCTAGCCGAAATAAAACAAATAAGACTTTCTCCAGAACAAATATTATTAGACATACTGTGAACATTTCCTTGCTCTGTTAAAGATCACTTGAGACATATTTGGAAAAAAAAAATTCATAGGGGGCGAATAATTCTGACTTCAACTATATATATATATATATTTTTTTTTTAAACGATATGAACACTTTTTCAGTGTATGCCTATAATTACGGTCTAATAATAATGATACAATTATGTATAACTGTAATAATATTAATAATAAAATTAATGATAATACAATTAATAATAATAATAATATTGGTCACTTTACAATAAAGTTTCATTAGTTAATGTATTTATTAACATTAACTAATAACGAACAGTACATGTACAGCATTTATTAATCAGTTCAACATTTCCTAAAGCATTATTAATGTCTGAATTCACACTTGTTAGGTTTAGTTAATGCACTGCGAGTTAACAAGAACTAACAATGAACAACTTTAATACAATTAACTAATATTAACAAACATAAATACAGTAAGAAATGTATTTTTCATAGTTTGTTCCTGTTAGTAAATGCATTAACTAATGCAACCTTATTATGTTACCACACTACACTACTACTACTACTACTACTACTAGTAATAATAATAATAATAATAAACAACTACAACAATAATAAAGTTATTATTAAAAATAATATTAATAATTGCAAAGTACACACTTTTTAAAACATTTAAAATACACAATAATTAACTTATGAACTTTTATGATTTATGAATGATATAAGATTTAAAACAAGGTTAATGGCTGCTTTGTGCATTAAAATATTACAATAGGATTATTGCTAAGATGACTCATTTTAAATAGGATCTTAAAAAGAAATTTGTATTTCTAAATGTATTTTTTGCTTTGTATTTTAAATAATGTTTGCAGATATTTAGAGACATGCTCAGTGAACTTTCTTGTTTATCTGAGACGCAATGCTGAAGTCAGATATTCTGCTTTGAACGTGCGTTACGTGCCGGAACAGCTGTCTTTGTTTTGGTCATTTAACCCACCCAATTCCATGTTAGCCAATTGTATTTCAGCACCCCGGGTTGCCAGACAGTGGAAAACAGCGTATTTCATTCATTCAGAAAGGAAGGCTCTGAAAGCATGCGTCTGTGACTGAAATGCGACCTCTGGTGGACAGTAGCAGACTCCAAAATGAGACGCAGATTCAGAGTTTCACTTGAGGTGGTTATTAATTAGCAAATAATATAAATATTACCAGCGTAAACATTATGTGAGCAGGTCACATTGTAACCCCGTGTCCTAACAACACGCTATGTGACGGGATTTGCAGTTATAAGCAGTTTGGCTGCACCATACAAAACAGGATAGCAATGTAAATGCAGCCATTCAGAAGCACAGAATATGCACTCACTCACGAAACGGTAAGGTTTATAATCTATCTAATCCATATAAACCCTCTTTAACATGATTAAATGTAGATGCTGAATCACTGATATGTGTTGGTTTGCACTGAGTCTCAGATCAGTTTCAGACGGTTTATTTTTTTCTCCAGATCAGAGCTGAACTATCTGCTGCTGCTTTTAGTAGTCTGGTGATAAATGTCATGTCAAATGCCATTTAAACTCACATTATTATCATTTAACACTGAATAAAGCACATGAGGTGTACAGGAGCTGATCATTGTCAGTTTTCTGTTGTTCAGCTGTGAGAAATTGAAGACGTTTCTAATATATCAAGGTGTTGGTTAGGACAAAAACTCCTTTTAATATGGAGGATATTCCTTCTGGCGATGCAGTTGCGCATGAGGTAGTGCTGGATAAATTGCCGGTTCATTCCGCTGTGGTAATAAGGGACTAAGCCAAAAAGAAATCAATGATATTCCTTCTATCGAGTGCTATTGCTTTCAGTTAGAACATGGTTTAAATCACTTGCTCCTGTCTCCAATCTGGCAACCTGCGCTTGCTTTTATTTTGATCCAGGAGTGCAATACCTAATTCAACCACTAGGTGTCATAATTACATACTGTACCTTTAATTGTTGTATTCGCGTTGTTGTGTTTCAGTCTCTGTCTCCATTTAGAGACAGACAAAGTTTCTGTAATTGAACTGAACCGAATAAAAAAGCAAGCCGTTCAGTGCATGTAAGAAAAAGCAAAAGCAAGTGTTCTGTGTGTTCATATTCCAGCAAATCAGAGCAGGAGACTCCAGTGATAGTGAAAGAAAATGCTGCGTTTAATGATTACAATCAAAAAAGTGCAACAAAATTCACCACCCACTGACTGAATGAATGAATGAATGATGAGGATCACTTTATTGGCCATCATTACGGTTTAAGAAACACCATATACAAATTCCAGAGAGCCGGAGAGGAGGAGCAGACGACGAGGAACAGACCCAGGAGGATGAAGAAGAAGAAAATAATGAGAGGTAGAGAAGAGCGAATGAAGATGATGATGATGATGAAGATGGAGAGACGCAAGGCTGGAGGAAATCAACTTAAATAAATAAATAAATAAAATAAATAAAAGCTGCACACAACTCAACAAATTAAAAGTGAACTGAAGTATAAAAGGTCTAAAATAAGAGCGATCTGTGTGTGTACGAGTGTGTGTGTGTGTGTGTGTGTGTGTGTGTATGAAGGAGAACAGGCTGTAAGCCACTTCAAGTAGAGGGATTTCCAGTGTCCAGTGCTGTAGTGGAGGCAGAGGGGCTCAAACACACTTTTCTAGCAAACACACACACACAAACATACACACACACACACACATACAAACAACACACACTCTCTCTCTCTCTCGCGCTTGCTAGAAGAGTTTGTGCTGGTTCTCCGGTGGGCAGGGCCAGACTGGGGGAGGGCTGGATTGGGGGGCGGGGTCAGACTGCAGGAGGGCGGGGCTATCTACATCATGGAGCAGGGCGTCCGGCCCTGTGGAGCTCCTCCATCCATCTTTTCAGCCTCCAGAATGATCCTCTTGAACACCTCCACCGCCGTCTGAAACACACAATAACACAAATACAGTCAATAAACAATAACAACAGGCCAAAGAGGAACACTAGATAAGAAAATAAGAGTTTAACGACACCTATTATGCAGAAACTACTTCTATTCGGGGTTTAACCCCAGTTGTGTGTCAGCAGTGTGTGAATATCTCCAGGGTCTGATGCTCAACATGAATAAATTGTTTGTTATAATCACGCTTGATGCAGAAACACTTTGATTGACATTCTCCCTTTGTACGTGTCATCAGAGGGGGAAAGCCCCGCCCACTAGTGCCCATCTCTATCTCATTAGCATAAACAGCAGCCCTGAGTGAGAAGCAGCCGTCTGTCCATTAGCCATTAGAGTGTTTGAGCTGCTGAAGATGATGTCAGCATAGACTAAGAGGATTATAGATGTGGAGTTCTAGATGAACAGCGACAGGAGCTACATAGACTGACAGAAGCATCAAGCACACCTGACCAATGACAACATGCACACCTGACTCGATGACAATCAAGTCAATCAAGTCTACTTTTAAAAAAGTAAGTTAGATATATTTATGAAATATCTTCATGCATCTTAAGCCGATGTGTGCAGATGCAGAAACAGACAGGAAGAGGAAGCAGATCAGACAGGAAGTGCATCATCACCTGGTTCTCTTTGGCTGAGGACTCCATGAACGCTGCGTTCCACGACTCTGCCAGAGCTTTACCTTCTTCACAGCTGATCACTCTGAAACACACACACACACACACACACATCATCAGAAACACAAACACATCTTCAGATACACACACTTAACATCACATATACACAGGCAAACACACACACACACACACACCATCAGAAACACAAACACATCTTCAGATACACACACTTAACATCACATATACACAGGCAAACACACACACACACACACACACACAATCAGAAAAACAAACACATCTTCAGATACACACACTTAACATCAGATATACACAGGCAAACACACACACACACACACACCATCAGAAACACAAACACATCTTCAGATACACACACTTAACATCACATATACACAGGCAAACACACACACACACACACACACAATCAGAAAAACAAACACATCTTCAGATACACACACTTAACATCAGATATACACAGGCAAACACACACACACACACACACACCATCAGAAACACAAACACATCTTCAGATACACACACTTAACATCACATATACACAGGCAAACACACACACACACACACACACACAATCAGAAAAACAAACACATCTTCAGATACACACACTTAACATCAGATATACACAGGCAAACACACACACACACACACACACACCATCAGAAACACAAACACATCTTCAGATACACACACTTAACATCACATATACACAGGCAAACACACACACACAAACACACACACCATCAGAAACACAAACACATCTTCAGATACACACACTTAACATCACATATACACAGGCAAACACACACAATGTCAGACAAACCAATACATCATCAGATATACATATACACACACAACATCAGATAAACCCATTATCAGATACACATCAGATGCCAGACACACAAAATGTCACCACACACACACAGCGTCAGATAAACAAACATCCTCAGATACACACAGACATCAGACACAAAATGTCAGACACACACTGTCAGATAAACAAACACATCATCAGATACACACAGACATCAGACACACAGACACACACACACCGTCAGATAAACAAACACATTATCAGATACACACACACACACTGTCAGATAAACAAACACATAATCAGATACACACAGACATCAGACACACACACACACACACACACCGTCAGATAAACAAACACATTATCAGATACACACACACACACACACCGTCAGATAAACAAACACATTATCAGATACACACAGACATCAGACACACAAAGAATTTCACACACACACACACACACTGTCAGATAAACAAAAACATCATCAGATACACAGACATCAATTATGTGTGTGTAATTGAGGAGACAACAAGAGGCTGATAATGCAGAGGTCTCACCGCTCCATGTGCAGGTCTTTCTTATTGCCCACCAGCATTATGGGTACTCTACAGAAACACACACACACACACACACACGAGCGTAAACACAAGTAAACATGTACTCATGTAACTCAATCCTTAAATATTTATAAAACGTAATGAATAAATTCATTAATACAGTGAGTAGAGTATATCACTACAGTAACAACTAATAGAAAAACTGAAATAAAATATATATTTTTGTGGAGAGAAATGGTAGAAAATGGAATTATGCTAAACATTTATGAAATTTCTTTGTTAGTAAAAACTTCAATTAATTATATTAAGAATAAGTAAAAAAAACATAGTTAAAAACTGTAAATGCTAAAATAAAGCTTGAAAAAATGTTTTTAAATTATGAAGAAAAATATAGATAATAGATTTAAAAACAAAGAATATATGAATAAATAAACACTTACTGTACTTTCCCCACCATGTCCAACAGTTTTTCATGGATAACTTTTACTACTTCAAAACTGCAATGAAGGAGAGAAAAATAACCCTGATGAAGAGCAGCTAGCAGAAACACACTGACTAAATGCAGAATTCAGAAAGCAGCAAATACAGCATATATATATATATATAGGGGAAAAAAACAGGGGGGCTCATAATTCGGAGAGGCTAATAATTCTGACTTCACCTGTATATACAGTTGAAGTCAGAATAATTAGCCCCCCTAAATTATTAGACCGGTTGTTTATTTTTATTCCCAATATTTCTGTTTAACGGAGAGCAGATTTCTCCAACACATTTCTAATCATAATAGTGTTAATAACTCATCTCTAATCACTGATTTATTTTCTCTGTCATGATGACAGTAAATAATATTAGACTAGATATTCTTCAAGACACTTCTATACAGCTTAAAGTGACATTTAAAGGCTTTACTAGGGTAATTAGGGTAACTAGGCAGGTTAGGGTAATTAGGCAAGTTATTGTGTAATAATGGTTTGTTCTGTAGATTATCAAGAAAAAATATAGCTTAAAGGGGCTAATAATATTGACCCTAAAATGGTTCATAAAAAATTCAAAACTGCTTTTATTCTAGCTGAAATAAAACAAAAAAGACTTTCTCCAGAAGAAAAAATATTATCAGACATACTGTGAACATTTCCTTGCACTGTTAAACATCATTTGGGAAATATTTAAAGAAGAAGAAATAAATCAAAGAGGGGCTAATAATTCAGACTTCAACTGTGTGTGTGTATGTGTGTGTGTATATATATATATATATATATATATATATATATATATATAAAAA